GTTTGTTTTCAGTAAAACTTTATATTTTATCTGTTATTTTCTCAACACTAACTCTATACTTGGTTGGTCAATTTGACCAACCTCATTACTTCCAAAATAAAACTAAACCTAAATTACTCTTTTTTTCTTTCTAGAATGACTTCAAATGTAACATGAAGCTAAATTCGTTTATCGTAACTAGCTTTACACTCGTAACAGTATACATTTACTTATAATTAAATTTTATTGTTTTATTGCTCTTTGAACCATGTCTAACTACTATTCATGCCATTATAAGTTGTAAATCACTTGGGGAACGTGCAGCTCATGTTATGCTATCAAATTGCCTTACCCACGAGCTACTCCAAGCTGGTTGGGTGTGTGCCTCATGAAATATTTTTGTATTATTATTATTATTTATTTTTACCTTGTCTAACCTAAAGGACGCCTATTTTTACACTTTAGTTACTTTTTATAATATTAAATAAAGAATAAACATGAAAAACGAAATAAAGTACTTACCCAAGTATTTTTTTTGATGTCAACTATTAATGACCCTACTTTTTTATACTAATGGTGGTAGTGCATTAAATAATTTTTATTTAATTAAATAATGCACCAAATAATATAGAATAATAACATGCAAAAAGCAGACAATTTTCTCTAACAATCACAATTTTTCTGGCTTTCTAACTATCCAACAAGAGTCGTTACAAATTCACCCAAGCTAGTCATTACCAATCGTATGACAACTAAACTTGTACTAGCAGTGAAAATGATTATTATCTATTCAGAACGTAATACATCTTTTGATAGATGAAAACCTTGGCTTTCTATTGGTTATAGGTAACATATAATTATATGTAAGAGAGAACTATTAACAAATCCTGAAAGAGAGGATGTGACAGGTGGGTGTTGCAGGAGGGGTCAGATGTTCTATTTGATAGCTCTGTAACTAAACAAAATTTAAGGCTATAAGAATTCTTGTTTGTCTGAGCAATGATGATTTTATTTTGAGTAATTTATGTTTAATTTCATTGTTGTTGGAGGAGTGGTGGATAAACTAGAGAAGAGGAGATACCTAAAGAAAATGTGTCATGTTTCACACTATGGGAAATTCAGGATTTTTTATTAATATTGCCTTTTAGAATTAAGAACTTAAAACTTATAAACTATTAAGAAATGGGTTATTAGCTAAGATTTTATGCTATACTAATTGGTATAACATAAACAAAATGTAGTTTAATAAAATTCTGAATGCAAGACACTAAAATCTTGTGTCACGTGCAGTAAAGGATACCTGTGGTGATAGGGTTAAAAGGAGTTCTCGGGTTACTAAAGTCAGCTGTCAGGCCATGCACACATTCCATCCAGCACTGTCTAACCATGCTGTTAGTTTTTCTGTAGGCAAGACCACCCTCGCCACCACTTACTACGATATCTCCCATCATCATTGACAAACTCTCGTACGACTGCTCTCCCTGACAAATCAGGGACTTTGTTCGTAGATACAAGCACCCAAGTACGCCTACTTTCTGATGCAATGAGGAAACTATGTAGGGGTGGAATACTCCTACAACCTGTGACTCACGATGACCTAAAATCTTTATGCAACCCATGGAACTTGGGCTCCCCAGTCATTTGCCAACCTCCTAAAAGCCAGGCCAGCCTCCACAAAGTCTTCCTATGAAATGTAGATTTAATCATCACTACAGATGAAATACTCTCCTTCCTTGAACAAGACACCAACTATAAAATCCATGCTGTCCATAGGATCTTTTCAAAGAAAAATGGAAAATCTTCCCTCTATATAAAAATCATTACTAACTCCAGGAATACTGCAGATTACATACTCTTCCATGAATGCTTCTATCGCTCCTTCAAATACAAAGCAGAGGAACCACGTCCACCCCATTCACACACACCACTACAACTCTGCCTATTTCACCACCTCGACTGAACAACCAACCAACTAATGCTAGACCAAAAAATCAACCTCAGATCAGTCTACACAAACCAGCTCGCCATTTTTCTGAGCTTTTTCCATCATGACAGACCAAGCCACTCAGACCAAACACTTCCAAAGAAAAAAATCAACTCAGACCCAGCCACCTACCGAGCCCCTCCACGATGACTAATTTCACAAATGCTATTTCCTACTCCGACAATCATACATGGCCGCCTCTCACAAGAAGAATTTTCAACAAGTCATGCTAGCCCTTTGGCCGGAACCACAACATACAGACCACCCGTACCTTCGTCCAGCGAGGAGGACGACATACTCATTGCTATCTCATACCAAAAACCTTCTTTCAGCAGAACTTGTTAGTTCTGCTATACCCCATTACAGTTGACTATTCCATGGTAATCTTAGACCCTGTAAAGATAATTCCATGACTCCTTCCTTCTCATATTACCAAGTTTCTAAAAATCTCTCATGCTACCAATTCTTTCAAGATGGGCATTGGTCAGGTAGATTTTTCGGCACCTTGTCACTGAAAGTGGATTTTCTCAGGGCACTCCTGATTCACGCCACATTCAATTCTAGGCATTGGATTTGTAGATCCCCCTGCCACCCTAAAGGACAATAAGTCCTATGAAGGCCATTTATTCTGAGAAAAATTTCAGGACTTCACATCTGCCAAAATTGCAAACATCAATTTTAGCCCTTCATCTGTATCAAGAGCAGAGAGAAGAGATATCATACCGAAAGAACTACCATGATAATAATAATAAAGTTACTATAGTTTGAGAACTTGATATATATCATATGCACATTTGAAAAGACTTTACCTCAAAAATCTACTTTAAAAACTTCTGTAAAGCAGACGTCATGTGTGGGAACTTTTTTAAATTTCATTAAAATATGCAACAATGAAATTTGGAATAGGGAAATATACAGTTTATGTCAACATGTACATTAGAGAGGGGTAAGTTTAGATAGTACTATGCACTGCAAAAGATTTGAGGAATGGATCTATCATCCCTTAGAACCCCATCTCAAAAAGCAGTGTTTGTGTGTTAAGGTATTGTGTTAATTTTTTCACTTTTTATAGACAATTTAGAGTACTGATATTGTCACCCTGTTGAGTTTTAATTCTTGCCCCTGAAACCCAAGTTTTGAAAGCATTGCTAGATCTTGTGTCTGTTGCTAGATATGTTGATCAGTTTTTCATTTTTTATCATACATTTGACTCAAAGTGTATTTTGTACTGAAGGTGTTTGATGCATATCACATGTTGTGGAATAGATTTAATCAACTTAGGTTTAAGCTTGCAGTCATTGAGACGCCTGCATGGCCATCGGATCAGTTAAGACCTTTATGTACCTAATATCTTACTTGAGTATTCTAGGTAGGTCACATAACTGGTTTTATTAACTTAAATAGACAGCATTTCACTTACAGTTTATAAAGTTTGTGAATTCAAGTGCAAAATACCACTGCTAAAATGTTTCATATGCAAAGCACAAGTTTTCCCCCAGTACCGTGTTTAATTTTTAAAGTATATTGAAAGGTGGGATTTATCTAAAACTCTCTTAAGTGAAATAAGTAACTGATTGATTGTTTTAGGAGCCAACTCACAAAGAAGCTGATGAAGATCACATTGTTGAAGACCTGCAAGTTATGTCAGATTTTGAGCTTCATTCTCTCTGTAAATTATACAAGGTAAGCAGAACTATAATCTTTTGTTTGTTGGCATACACTGTAGATTATAAATGGTTAACAAGATCAGATTTTATTACTTTCAGTATGTTAAACATCCTGTAAATATTTGGTTAGTAGGACTTATGAAATAGAAGTGTTATTAATATATTTTTTAGATTATCCAAAGTTAACAGTATTTATCACTTGCAGGCTATAATACTCTCTGAATCAGGCAAAATTAGCAGCTTTCTTATTATTTGCAGGCTATTAATACATTTTATGAGGTATCTACAGATATAAGTATTTTATCACATAAAGTTTCTTAATACATTATGTAAGTTCTTCAAGATAAACATTTTATTACATACAAGTTTTTATAAGCTGGAAAGTAACCTGACTATACACCCATGGGCTTTTGTGTATTTGAGTTGCTTAAGCATGATCTTGAAAACCAACATCTTCATACAGTTTCGAATTCATACCTGATGATGGCAAAAACCTTGTCGAAACGTTGTACATTTGCTGTTGTGTTAAACTTATATTAAAGTTTTTCTTCATTACTCATTTAAGCCATCTCCAGCCATTATCTACATACAGTGAAAGGTCTCAAGATGTATGATCTAAGATTGACCTCTGATCAGTGCAGATTGTGATGTTGAGGAATTGTGTGAATCAAAGCAATCAATTTGTGTGCAGATGATAATGGGAAGCAGTGTAGAACCAGGAACATCATTTTATAAAGTGTTATTAACCTTTTGTACACTAGACTAAAAATATAGATGTTGTTGGTCAAAACGTTGCCTTGAGGAGAGAAAAACAAGTCTTTATTAGTTACCATTCTTGTTTTAAACTTGAACTAAACTTCTTTTGTATTGATTCATAATTGCACAGATGATTATCAGTGTGAAAGTTATAATATTTCAGATTTTTTTCAGACATTGTTTTCATTTAAACTAAGTCCTGATGTTATATGTGACTCTGGAAAATTCAAAGAGTTGGACTTATATTTCAGTCAGTGGCAAGAAAATGTAAGTTCATTTTATTGTTTTGTAGTAGCTAACAAAATATTGTTTGTCTTAATTACCAAATCTTTAATAAACTTATAGGTGATAATAATATGTTTTTATTTGTTTTATTATGAGTGTTGAGAAACTTTTTCACCAGTAAGTTTATCATTCCGTTAGCTGATTTTTTAGGTTTTAACCATCTCATCTTTTGAGATGAGTTTATAAGTTTATAAACTTATTAGTTTATAAGTATTAAAAATTTCATATTATTCACTGACTTGTAAATGCCAGTGAGCTATTTCACTAACCAATTTAGTAGTGTCAATTAACTGATTTCTGTCCTTTATTTTTAGCTAATTTATGGGTGTTAAGAAACAGCTTTACTAACTGACTTTTAGTGTTAACTTATTCCATTGGGTGATTTGTAAGTGTTAATAAGTTATCGCATTAAGTGATTTATACACATTTTTAAACTTCTCCAGTAGCTGACTTTCTAGTGTTAATTAGTTCAATGTGTTGAATTACTGGTATAACTAAGCTACTTCATTAAGTGATTTATACAGACAAATGTATTGAAGTTTAAAATTATGTGCTGGTGAAATATTATAGTAGTTTTTGGGTTTTTTCCAACAATCTTAAACCTTAAATTTTTGTTGTGTATGTTAGAAAAATATATTAATCTATTGCTTTGACAAATGTTAATATTAAAGAGTTTTTCAGTTCATTTTCATCTGTTGATTGAGTCTTGAATAAACTGTTGAAAGTATTTCAGTAGATTATGACCTATAATAAAACTTAATCTGCAAAGATGTGCAAGTGTTATTCTTCTGATTAAATTGACTATTCCTTTCCAGAGAAGCAGAGTTTTGCTGTTCAGTCAGTTCACAATGATGCTAGATATTGTGCAAGAATACATGGAAATCAGGAACCATCGATACCTACGTTTGGATGGCTCTACTCCAGTGGTTGAAAGGTAAACTTTTCTCATTTGTGATTTCATACCTGAAGAGGGGACAGATACAGTTGTTTGCAATGATGTTTCATTACATAAATAAAATCCTATTCATTTTATCATTTGAGATGATTTTAGAAATATTATGCATATTTTTTCTAACTAATACATTTATGGCAGAACTAGCCATTATCTTATTTTGTAAAAAGTTAAATAATTTAAGGTACAAAATACAAAGCAATTAGGATTAATGTTTAATTTGTAATGTTTTCCATAATAAATTTGTTAGTTTTGAATTAATGGTTGTGTACTTCTGATGATATGAGAAGTACCTGAATATACCTACCTTTCTTTTGCAAATTGTGTTATTAGTATTCTAGTGTTGAATTTAAGTAAGGGAACAAGATGGTTGCATATATTTTTAGAATATATTTCATTTATCAATTTCATCATTATTTTTTTTTTTTCTGTTGAAGAAAAGTAGTTTCATACTAATGGTTCCTTCACACAAATACTAAGAATATCTATATATTGTTAATATTTCCACTGTAACTGCTGAATAATGGAATATGTTTTCCTTTGTAGTGATGTAAAACATGTATTAAGACTTACACTTTTCATGGGGGTTTGATGATTTTGATAAATGTTATGAAATATGGAAATTATTCAAAGATAACAGTGTATTTCTTTGTTGTTGTGCTTGTTTTTTCTAGACAAGAATTAATAGACCAGTTTAATGATGATCCAGATATATTTGTTTTTTTGTTGTCAACACGTGCTGGAGGCCTAGGAATAAACTTGACTGCAGCAAATGTAGTCCTTCTCCATGACATTGACTTTAATCCTTACAATGATAAGCAAGCAGAAGACAGATGTCATAGAGTTGGACAAGAAAAGTAAGTTCTTCAAGTGTTTTATCTAGACAATGACAATTTATTGGTGTTTTACCATGCATAGGCAAGTTCTTCAAATGTCTCATCACACAAGTAAGACAAAAAAAGTTAAGAAAATGTTTTATCCACCAGAGTAAAACAAGATGAGTTCTTCAAGTATGTTATCATACACACACATTAGAGTGTTTTTTTATTGAGAAAAAGTACTTGACCTGTTGAAGTTCTAGAACTGGAAGATCTGGAGTGACAACTTGACAAGCACAATTTTAAGACGGCTTTTAACTGAAACACTTTGAAGCATCATGTCTCTGCTCATTTCATATACTTATGTAAAGTTAAGCTATTAATTATTTTCTATTTAATAAATAAAAATTACAAAAATGCCAGAACACACCCAACCTCTCTGAGTGGTGTTCTTGCCTGTCCTGAATACACAAGTAAAGTATGTTTCCAAAGTGTCTTAATGAGTGAAACAAAGTTAAGTTCTTGAAGTGGACTATCCTAAAAAAAAGTAAAATGTCTTAAAGAGAGTACTCATATTTTTAAAGTGTTTGTTGCAGAGTAAAGTGGATAAGGTACACGCACTAGGTCTATTAAAAACTAGAAATACTATGTTTACTAAGTCTCTGTTACAGAATGACAGATTGTATTCATAAAGCTTGTCCATTGCAAAGAAACAGATTTTATATATTTATGAAGCCTGCTTGTTATAGAATAGATAATTTGTCAACACTTCATTATCACAATAAATATTTTATTTTACCAATAAATTTTTGAATATCTTTATAAACTGATCTTCAATATTTTTTCTAAGTACACAAATAATTCAAGTTTTGTTTTAAAGCCCTTACTTTTTTAAAATATTTTTATGACAACAGGAATAATCAGTCTTTGTAATTACAACATAGTGTTAAGCCTTCTTTTTTCATATTATTTAGTTCCATTCATTTTTAAGAAAAAAATATATCTTTTGATGTATAATGATGTTTATTATCTTATCTTCATCAGTTAACTATCATTACACAAAAAGTTAGTAGTTCACAAGCCAAGAAGTTACTGTTCTTGTAGTGGATGTTTTTCATAATTTTCTACATCTTAAAATTTCCATGCTAGTTATGGTGTTTGAAACACACATTTCCTGTTCAGACATTGATTTGTATGGATGTATGGCATGTTTTAATCAACTGTTGTATTTAAGTAAACATAAGAAATTGGTTCATCAAGATTTATTGAAGGAACATAAGTCATTAAAATTTCTTCATTTTATATATTCCAAAGTTTTATTTCACAGAAATTCCCAGATAAGTTTTGTGAAGAGTGTTGACTGTTCTGAGTGCAAAGTGATTTTCATATTAAGATTAAAAATAATTTTATTAATCTGAAAATTTTCATATTTCATTTGTGTAATCTCCAAGGCCTCCTAAGTATATATATCAAATTTTTTTTGTTTTTCTTTCAGAAAAACTATATATTTTATTAGTTATATTCTACTATAACTCGATATGAGGTCAGTGATTTGACTGACCTAGTAACCATGATATAAATTATCAAATAAATCAAAATTACCCCCTTTTCTTTTTACAATGACTGAAAATTGTAACATGAAACCACAACTGTTTATCCTAAATAGCTTAAAGCTCATAACAGTATACATCTATTTATACTTAATTTTATTGTTTATTTGATGTTTGAACTGTATCTAACTAATAATCTTGCCACACAAGTTATAGATCACATGGCAAACTTGTAGCTCATGTTACCATATCAAATTATGTAATGCCTGAACTACTTGCAAACATACCTCATGAAGTATTTTTGTTAATATTCTTTCATCATACCTAATCTAACATTATCTAATGTAATAAGTTTTAATTTTTACATTTTAGTTACGTTCATAATAATAAATAATGAATATACATGAAGAACAAGAAATATAATACTTACCTCTGTCTTCTTTTCTTCTGTTAACTGTCGATGAAACTTAAGCCTTCCTTTTTATATTAATTGCTACTGCACTGAGTAATTTTTTTATTTAATTACATAATGCACCTAAGAACACAGAATAATAACCCACAAGAAACAAACAATGTCCTATAACTATCATAATTTTTCTGGCTTTCTAACTGTGCAACTAGAGCCTTTAAAAATTCAGTTGATGTAACTCCCATAAGAACAAATTTGAAACTAAATGATGGTATAGATAATGCTGTGAAGAGAAAACAATGTAATACATAATTTAATAGATTAAAACTCTGGCTTTTTGTTGGTCATAAATGACAGAGTATGAAATGTCAGAGAGGACTATTGGCAGTTTCTGAAAGAGATATGTTACAGGTGGGTGTGACAAATGGATATGATTTTCTAATTTATCGTAACTTAAACAAATATGATTGAAGGTAAAAAAACTGTGCTTTGCCTGAGTATAGTCTATATTACAATAAGTAATCTACATTACATACTTCTCAGAGGGGTGATAAATACATTAGAGAAGAGGGAAGATCTCAAGAGCAAATGCTGCAATTCTCATACTAGAGGAGAGTGAAGATTTTTTAAAATATTTCCTGATAGAATTAAAACCTAAAACTTAAATATTAATATGTGATTCTGATACCTTCTCTCCTCTCACAAGATTAGCTTTTCCCATTTTGTGCTGCCCTCTATATGATAACTTTTTTTTTAAAATGCATGTTGTAAGCTTTCCACATCCCTCTGTTGGAATCCAAAGTTCCAACATGTCTCATGCAAATCATCATGCATCAACTATCCACCTATAGGAGAGCACTACTATCATGTGATGCATGTGACTCTTATGTGCCACTACTGAACTATCACTTCCTGAGGATTCTGTTGAGCCCTCGTTGGCTTTCTCAGAAATTATATCTCAGGTATAGAACGTTGTATCTCTTGCCATAATTATTTTGACCCACATCCTTCCTTATTGCTTGTTTCTACCTCTCTCCTTTCTTTTTTCCCTGTCCCCTTATGTTCAGGTTTACACTGGGCTTTTGCTGCTCCATTGGGTAATGGCATTGGTATGCCTACTCCCCCGCGGGCTTCGGGTTGGTCTGCTCTTGCGACTTTTAGGGCAGGCTCACAAACACTGGACTGCCAGTTGTAGGTTCAGTTTTACCTGTTTGGGGGGACGAGTCCCAATTTTCCTGTTCATCCTACCTGTGCCCCGTTTTCACATATTGGTCTTCCTCTGACACTCTTTGTAATACCTCACCCCAATTATTCCTGTCTGAGGCTATTCACAGGAACCCTTCTACTGTTGGGCACATGTTATTTTTGGCTCTAGCCCTACACACATGGCTCTCTTCTCTTTAGATGTTTGGGCTACGATGCTATATTCTCGTGGACCCATCGCCCAGCTCCATATATACAGGACCTTCTTATGGTTCCATTTTAAGATATTTAGAGTGTGAAATGATTACTGTGTCCTTGGAGTCGCAGGTGGCTTCTGTCCAACAGTGATCCACCTTTCACATTGGCTGTCCAGAGTCCTGTTTCTCGACCTTACCCTCACAGCCCTGCATATCTCAGCTTTCTATGGTACCGCAGTTTGCTGTTTTTCTCAGTGATACATGGTATGCAGGCAATGGTTCCAGTAACTGCCTGGTGAGTTCAGGACTAATGATAGCTTGTTTAGCAAATTTTGTTCATGAGAGGATCCTTTTCCTCTCCAAAGATTGGGTTCATGGTGTTCTGTCAGAGGGTTTCGTCATCCCCTTTCCATCTTACTCGTTTCCTTCCTCCTCCTCATTGGGATCCCTAGTCACACCAGCATCTATCTGTGGCAGTACTCAACCTCCTCACCCAACAGGTTGTCGTACCTGCTCCACGCAGCTCACATGGGTTTTACTCCCACCAGTTTGCCTGTCGTGGG